TTCCTTATAATGAAGATGTATATGGAGACAAGACAACAGCTGTAGACAAGATCGCCAAAGTTTCATTTCTCTAAAATCTAAGCAAAACACTTCACATTTATCATATAATAATTAGTCTGATGTACTTTGAGTCACCTGGAACTGAAGTACCAGGCTGCCCTGAAGTTATTTTCAGACCAACAATCACAAGGAGGAGCAGTAGGACTGGTAACTTCACAGAGAAGTAGGTTTTTCTTGTTTTCCAGCCCAGTTTGGAAGGTTTAAATGTGAAAGCAGTCACTCATGAGTTAGCATTTTGAGGGTATGTGTCTCTGATGCAGACAGCACTGAGCAAGACCGATAAGGAGGACATGTACAGTCATGAGAGGTAACAAACACCAGCTTGGGAAAAGTACCACGTTAACATTTGTTCATAGATCTAGCACTGGAGCTGGGCTCTTCCAAGTATTTTTACTAAACTACATGCCTCATATACATGAACTGGCCTACTAGTATCATAAAAATTTAGTGTAAACCCAATTTTGTAATTTTTCCATAGCTTACTGCTGTTGTTTGGTGCTTTTCCTCCTATTTCCCAATCCTGGAGTTGGATAATTTCTTGACACTGTCAGTTTTCATTTCTTGAAACAGCAATTATTGAACCTTCTCTTTACTCAAAAAGGTCGCATAGAGGCAGATAAATTGAAGCTAAACTTATTTTTTGTTTAAAAACAAATCTAATCACTTTAGGTTGATTTTATAATTTTCGAGAAGGCATTTTCATTTGTATGTCTAGCTAGATTTAGTAGCATTGTTCCGATTCAGGTTATTACACCAAATGCATGTTTTAAAGTTTATTTTCTATGTTAATATGTAGTCATTTGTTGATGTTCTTATTGTTGCTGAAATGGGCTTAGTTTTCCTCAATCATGGAGTCATATTATTATTTATACAGCTAAATCTGTAGCAAGAACTTAAGAGCTGGTATTGACAAAGTTTGTAATGAACCTAATGCTACTGAAGGTCATTCTAGTCATTCTGATCATGAAGTTCAGAATTATGCCCTCAGAGGACCCCCAGAGATGGATAGTTAAGGGAAAAAGTCACAAAGAATTAATCAGAGAAGCAAAAGTAAAGACCTGAAGTTAAGGAAGCATGGAAAGGCTAAGCCTAGAGACAAATGAAAAAGGAATGGGTCTGAAGCAAGTCTACAGTAAAGAGAAAGAGAAAAACAAAATCATAACCAGAAAATAATGACGTAGAAAATGGTATGTTGAGCATGTTACTAGCATACAGCACAAACTGTACTATGATTCTTTCAGAAGACTCCCTTGTACTATCTTAAAGCTTGTGGTAAAACCTTCTCAGTTATGGTGAGGCTTCTCAGTTATGAAAACACCGGTTGTGCATTTACAGGTAAACCTGAATCCTATTTTGCACTTCACTCAAGAAATCAACCTCCTTGTTAAAGAATGTACCATACTATCTACAAACTACATCATTTAGAATTGGAAATTAACTGAACTTTCTTCTTTGTGAACTAAGAGGTATAAAACACAGGAACAAGAGAGAAATCACTATTTCCATAGTAATTTTCCAGAAAAAATACAGGGTTTTTTTAACGTGTTTTTACGCTATTTAATATTCCTTGATATTACTTAAACTTTTTATTTAAACTTTCATCTTTGCTTTAAATTTAACAATAAGTTTCCTCTAAACTTTATATTCTCTGGGTTTCTGACTATTGCCATTGGGATAGCAATGGTTTGTAGCAATGTTATTAGTTATAGTAATGGTAATAATAATATCTAAGTATTTTTACAACAGAGATTCAAATCTAAAGCCAATTTTAACCTTCAAATATTTGGAAATACCTAAATTTAATGAAATTAAGATAATTAACAGTCTTTTAAAGAGTCGATACTGCTGTGTTCCCTTTTGTCAGAAGCTAGCACTGATTATTTTTTCAGTTTATCATCATTAAGAATAAAAAATATAGTTAAATTACCACCAAACCTAAGCACTGGGGAAAAACAACAACAACAACAACAACAAAGCAAAACCACCAACAAAACCAAACAAAAAACCAAACAAAATAAAACAAAAAAGAACCACAAAAAATAAACAAAACAAAACAAAAACAAACCAAACAAACAAACAAACAAAACCACAAAAAAACCACACAAAACCAATTCAAGCCCTAACACTGACTTAAAATGATGGCATACCTAGATTTATTTTTATGTTTATCTTATTTTTTTATGCTTCTGCTCAAGTGTTGCCATATTTACATTATACAGAAAAACTATGATGTCTTTTTTTTATTACTGAAGAGAGATGAAATTATTGTCACAGAGTTCATGTGGATGGAAAGGTTACACAAAAACATAAAAATTACTGAGAAAATTGACAGCATGGTATGTTGAACTAGTGAATCTGTTGGACAGCTAGAAACATTTAGGTTTTTGTAGCTATAACCTGAAACTAGTTGTCTGTGGGATGACCACGAGGGAAGGACTGACCCATGGGCTCAGAGATATCACAGTGCACTCACCTCACCCAGGAACCTGGCGCTGGCTGCAACCTCCACTGCCTGCAGCCTTTGCACCTACCAAGTGCACTTCAAAGGCTGGTGGCTAAACCTCTGCAACCTCCTTGTTCAGCCTTCAGAGCTGTGGGAGTGAGTATTGCTCCTGGATCTGAGCACACTGTTTCTTTGGCATTTAGCACCAACTGAACCACATCAGCCTGGGCAGAGAAAACCAGTACAGTGCAGCCTACCGTTGTCAGATAAGCAGAGGCCCTTTCTTCCAGCTACTCCATATCCCAAAGCACTGTCACACTGCCCTGCTTCTAAATAGAATATTTTCTGATTGATGGAGGCTCTTCTGCTGAACTGTTAGAGTTGGAGTTTCTGCCCTTTTTTCTGCCTTCCTTCTCCTGAGCCATCTGTCCACCCACGCTTTGCCCATATGCCACATCGTGCACAGCTGTGGCACTTTTGTGCTGTATTTTCTCTTTGTGCTGTATCTTCTCTAAATCCAGAGCTGCTTCTGTTCTGTTATTTCTACTCTTTCACTAAATTCCAGGAAAGATGACCCGTATGTCTTTTTTTAGTTTTTTACCTTGTTTAATCATTCCATACCAGTATACAGAGCATGTATAATGTTGGTGAACACGTGTAATGTCGGCAAATATATACAGTACAGGTGAGACATGCTAGATCTAAATGTAGCTGTTTCTAATACTCAGAAACAAATGATCACCTTGTGATAAGTGTGTGTTCTTCTGTACCATTCTGCCTGGTAGCCTCAAGAAGGAACAGTACTCCCTATCACAGTGTCTCATATATGTATAATTCCTTGACAGTAACAAGCTGTAAACTTGAAAAAGCAAATTTCCCTCCTTACTGATAATGTGCACTAAGTGTCATGGCTTTTGCTTTTACATTTAATATGTTTGTTATAAACTAGTGTTCAGGTATATTTGTGTTCTTTAGAGGAAGATTAATTTGAAAGCTGGGCTTATCAGCAGGACCAAAGCACTTTACATGCCCAGGGCTAGGAAGCCTGGAAGGCAGGCACATGAAATCAGTGATGCATGGGAACCAGAGATCCTGGGTATGTCATTGCAAAGCCTAGCTGACAAGAAGATTCAAAAGATGAACTTTCAAGGGATAGACAGTCACATCGATGTACATCACTGTATTGATATCTCATAATTAGATAAAGGTAAATCCTAGGAGGATTCATGATTGGAAACCCATGCTGAAATTGCCAAAGTAAAAAGGCATCTTCTGATGCCTTCGACTGCAGACTTATTCACTATACACAAAAAGTGTCCATCATTTTAATGGTTGCTTCACAGATGAAAATAATAAAAATTTAAAAAAAAAAATTAAGGTACCATGATATTGTCCAGAAGAAATAAAGCAGAAAACTTCAACCTGAGCAACCGAATAATATCAGTTTGAAAGGTTTTAACATAGGACTAGTAAAAGGATTTGAAGCTGGAAACCTTTTTTTATAATATCTGCTGTCATTTGGCTCAATTAATAGCTAGGATGGAAACTGGAGGCTCAAGGGATCACCATGAAAACATGGATAAAATGTCTTATTGATCTACCAGTGCTTCTCACGAAGAAGAGTTTAATGCATTGATATACCCATAAGAAAGGATATTGGTTTTTTTAAACCTGTACTGCACCTGATGGAATGACAATTTAAGAAACAGATAGCAACAACCATTAACATCTCTCTAAACCACTTTTCAATATATATCCTTCACATGAAATCACGTGAATAAAATAAATTTTTATGAACTGTATAAAAACAGACAGAACTGTACAACTATGACCACACACCCATCTAAAACACTCTCTTCTATTTCTGGTTTTAATTATTTTTCAAGAACAGAGAGAATACAGGGGAATCAGCGAAAGTGGTATTTCTACTTATACACTTTTCTATCTAAAAGAGAGACTAGACCAACAGAGACCTGAAAATCATATCTAAGTCAAGGGAAAATAAAAAACCTCCTTTTTCATTATTTCTTCTGAAGACAATTTCTTCTGAAGCAATGATGAGACTGTCAGAATTAATTCTCTTGTGCTAGAGAACAGCAGCTTTCCCATCAGTACTTATATCCTGCTTAATTTTACTTTAACTACTAAATCTGGGGGGGGTGAAGTTTACTTCTTAAATGGTATAAAAGATTAATATCAAAGTTGTTTTTCTATGATGAAAGTCAAGGAACATTCAGTGGCAGTTCATTCCTGCGCAGAGAGAAGTGTGATGTCAGATCAGGGAACTGTACACTTGGACCAAACTTACATATTGTCGGGTTTCTTACTCTAGATGAGCACTGCTTACCTCCTGTGAAGCACATCTACCTGTACCTAGAGATGCAGAGTATTCCTGTTCAATATGATTTGCTTGCCTTTGGATATAAAGTTCATGCTGAATCCCAAAGATCAAAAGCTCTTTTCGCTATATCCTGAGTGCACATTTGAACTACTGAACAGGGTTGGGCTGGGCTGTCCCAGGTCCCCAGAACTGCTCCTGCTCTCTCCGTGAAGGATGGATCAGTCTGTTCATCTGTTTGGTTGCTGGCTACAGGGAGACTCCATTGTGGTATAGGATGCCTGAAGTGTAGATGCATGGCTCCAAAACACAGATTGCAGTCCAGTAACCTTTGGTAGCTATGCCTGCCAGATTGAGGAAGTGGGCTATGGGAAGAACCTAAAGAAGCTTCCAGACCCTTATGTTTTCTGCAGAAGAGCAAAACCTAAATGTGATAGCTGTGCAAATGAAACCTTGAGGTTTCTAGTATCTATAGTGAGATAGTAAAATTAACAAAATCAGATTGAGAGGTAAGGCTCTACATTTCCAGTACACAGCAGGAGAGGGGTGTGCTGTATAAATCTGTTCATACTTAGGGTTGAAGGTATCTGCACAGAAAGTACTCATTCAGTACTCCTTCTATGACCTGCCAATGCACAGCCCATCCCATAATGTGCATGTTTCTGGTATGTAGGGAGGTGAAAAAGAATTTTCAGTGAGTTTTTCTTAAGCATAAAACTGTTGTTTAAAAAACAATCTGAAGACATTTCTAAACAAAAAACTATGCACCATGCATTTGGAAAACTACCTTAAAGTGCTTCTTTATGCCAGTTCTTTTTTGTAAACAAAACCACTTGCACAACCCAGAGTTAGTTTTGAAAACTTTCAGTGTCATTTTCATTTTATATGAGATGCTTCTCATGGGGACATCTTTAAAACCACTCTATCAATCTTTGTCAGTTTCTCAGAGCAGTCATTAGTGAAATGTCACCTTCTAAGTTCCTCATGCTGGGACTTTAGACAGCTTCAGCTTTGGAAAATAAAACCTTAAGAAAACATAATTGGTACACTTAATTAAATTCACTTAAAGGTAGAATCATGACCGAAAAGAGAGTAATAAGAATGTTAAAATACTGTAAGTATGGGAAGTGCTTTGGTTTCTTTGAACAAGTTCAATATTTGACTATCTCATTTTCCCAGTGGCCACCTTTAAACTTCTGCTGAATTTTAAGTAAATAGTCCCACATTATGCAGTGTCTGAGGTCTCTGTTCTCCCTGTAAGGAATATTTATGTAATTAGCCAAGAGATTCTAGTGTAAGACTCTCACAAAAAAGAACAGGCTTCTCAATGAAATATTTTCCAATGGAAATATAATGAGGAGGTTTTGAGTGAGAACATCACTGAGAGTCTGGATGTTCAGCAAAAAACTGGTGAAAATACCTGGATAGTTCTGAGGCACAGAGCCTCCAAACCAGAATTAAATGGATATTCTGACGAACTAGAAATGTTTAACTAATTTCCACACTCCCTTCTAGCCCTTGGATTCTCTAGTCAACCATAAAAACCACAGAAATTATACCCAGCTCACCTAGCATAGGGTCAGATGGCTGAGGAATGCTTCTGACAGTGAAACCAGTGTACTGTGAGTTTATGTAGTTAGAGCAGGGCCTGTAACATCCTGGATCAGCTTTTGAACACGTGCCTGATGTATCCTTCATCCTACGAAAAGCAGAAATGTTACTCAATTATCACTTTTCTATAAAGAGAAAGAAAACCAACACAAAAGTAATTCTTCTTGCAGCTGTGGAACCAAGTCCTATATTAGTATATTAGATAGCTGCTAAATGCATTTAGTAGCTTGATGTCATCAAAGCACTTGGGCAGAGTTCTTTTGTGTCACTGGAGCACTAAAGAGCACAGCTTGGAGGCAAATGCTTGGGCATGAACGGTTGTATAAATATATGCATGTATGCATGTGTATTACAGATGTTTAGAACAAAAGGGGTTGTGCCTGTCGTGAGAAGTTGCTTCCAGGATTAACAGTTCTGGGGGACAGACCGGTTTCCAGGTCACAGCTTTATACTTAGGAATATAAAGCTCATTCTTGCTATGTACCTACTTACTTTGGGAATCTGACTGACATAATACTCAGTAGTGGGAGGCATCAGATGAAGATTAAAAGACACCTCTGTATTCAACAGGAAAATCTGTAGTAAAATTAATTAAATAAGAGTTTTAGTTTTAAATTTCCAAGTATCCAATTTTATAGAATGGTTTATTTTCTGTGTAACTGAACTCTGGGGATTAACTTCTCCAATTTCATACTGTCTTATGTTTTTACCTCTTTTGTTTCCTTTTAAACTGAAATTTTGATGAAGCTGATTAAGTCATCAACTTTGTCTGCTAGGGTACAGGGAAGAGCTGTTGTACAGGATTTAAAAATAGATATGATGACACCTAGTGGCACTAGAAAATAGTCATTCTTAAAATAAAGACAAAATGCAATGTAGTTTAAACAGCCTCATATAAAGCAACTGAAAAGATTGTGATTATGCTTCACTCATTTTAATATAAAAAAAAGTGCAGTGGTTTGAAATTTTATTTCTACATTTTCATTTTATTGATGAGAAAACAATAATTAAACGTTGTTCTCAGTAACGAAAATAAAATGCTTTTTTTGAGATTCTTGTTTGTTACCGGGTCACAATGACCTCTCAAAAAAAGATTCTAAAGAAAAACAGTTCTCGCTGTATGTAGCTTTATCTCATTGATGAGATATCAAGGCTTAACTGTTTGTCTTTACTAAGGAAGTTAGTTCCACAGTGATAAATAAAGATTACAGAATTTCCTCCTCTGACAGGTTACAATACAGGAGACAAAAAGTCTTGGCAGGGGATTCTAAAGTTCTTTTTTATTTTTGTAACTTTTATTATCTCTGAATATGATAAGACTACAAGTTGCTTACAGTATCTGCATGAACAGGTAACTAATATTTGACTTCCCCAATTCTTCAAGTAATAATTAGTAGAATTAAGTAGAACTAATTAATAGGTCATCAGAAATAAAATCATATAACTTTTAAAATTCAATGTTTTTAAATCTAGAAGCAATCATCAAATGAATCAACACTTAAACATGTAGAATTTTTGGATATCTCTCCATGAGCTCTTCACACAGAACACAAAATTCCATGTACCAAGTAGCAACTGAATCATGAAAGGAAATATAAATTACTTTAGCATTTCTAGCTTTGTAATTTAAGGACTCTGCCAACTGTCTATTCTTGTTCTTCCAAGAGTCTCTTGCTAATGAAAATGACCAAAAAGACAGCATCCCTTCCTCACAATTTTGCCATTTGATGGTAACACCTCTTCCCTCATTAGGTACCTAAGATACCTTGTTTTACCTATTCTGACTTTCTCTTTCCATGTGCATACTTTGTGCTAACCCTCAAAGGTATCTGGCATTTGTCGAGAGTAACAACAACAACAACAACAACAACAAAAAAAGGAAAATCAAGGTATTCAGGCAGAAGGTGAGAGGTTATTAATCAAGTCATGGAATAAAGAACTAGTTATAAAATAAAAGAGAGATGTATAATTCCTATTTATGGAGTTTTACTGGATTTTATGTGATCAGAAGATAAGCATGTATATAGCAATAAACAATAAACTCCCTACTTGCCTGTTGTATTTTTCATTAGACAGTGGATAATAAATCTGATTTCATCTACATCCTAATGCCTGCAGAAAAACAGTTTTCTAAAAAAATATGGAGGAGGGTACTACATAATAATATCTTAGTGTACCAGTTCTGCGATGTATTTTCAAGTGTGACAAGAAATACACCACACTTTTCACAGGATGGTGCCACAGGCTCATACAGCCCAGGGAAAAGGTGACACTACTCTGCATTGCTGTCATCTCGCATTTTCTTGTTTGTGGAGTACAAACCACTAGCTACAATTTTCTCCTGTGGACAAAGATACTTTTAACTCTATAGAATTTTTTCATACATGTCAATAATACAAGACAGAAAATAAGTCATAAAAAGACACAAGAATGACATAAAAATTTTCAGAGAAAAAAAGTAGAACTGTTAAAGTCAATGTCACTGACTTTAATTTGATTCCTTTGCCCACTAAGTTTATATGACAGTTATTTTTTCAACAAGAATATAACAATTTTAGATGCTGAGAAATTTACACACAGAAACATTTTTGTTTTAAAAAGCCACATAATTGGTCTTTAAAACTCCTTATGTTTGATTATGGGTACACTCCAGTATAGAGACACTCATCAATAAATTAACTTACCAACTCTCAGTCCCGGGTAATGATTTTACCCAGTGGTAAAAACAAAACCAAATTCACCTTCTCCAGTCTCTGACTGGTGATTGATCATGCAGAGATAATATATTTATGGAAGAATGTCTTTATGTACCATGAAAACTGCAAAGAAGTAAAAGTTAAAACATGAATAACAGGAGTTAGGAATCTAAAACACAAGTACCATGTGGATGGTATGAAGAAAATCAACTCCACCCCAGCCAGACCCGGTACAGTAGTTTCTTCGGGAGTGTGGCAGAAGGTATTAGGAGCACTTCCCAGGTAAACTTCATGATTCCAAGGGCACAATACGTTCTTAGGAGCCTGACAAACGGAATCTCTTCTTTACATACTATACCTTGCCTAGATTTTCATATAAGTGTGTGCAACTACACTAAATTAAATTCATTAAAATGAGTAATTTTAAATGAAGACAGACACACTGCACCAGTGCCTGTATTTTGAGAGTAGAGAGGTCTCATAGTCTTCAAGTGTCAAGAGGTAATATACTTTAGAGAAGGCTTTGAAAAAGGAAAGCACGAAGTCCTGAACAGAAACATTATTGGATGCAGCATGCTCTATTGTCTATAACCAGCAAGACGTGGAAAGGGAGGTGAAATCTTTTCTGTGTATCTATCTATAGTTATTGATATAAGTAAGGATATGGATGTAGATATAGTTGGACTATAAAAATTAATAATAAAAGAAACAAGTAATCTTTTCAGCCCTATCACCCAGTAATGTCCACCCTGTAAAACAGACAGAATCACTTCTAATTCTTTCAGTGAACTACAGAGAGTACTCTGGGTGTCCTGTCCTTAGTGACAAAAAGGACAGACCGAACTGATAGTTACCTTTTATATTTAACTTCTATGATTCATCATGTAGAAGGACTAGATGCAAGAGAGCGCTGCAGTATAAATAATAAAGCCAAAACTTTGGGTTTACAG